AACCGCGAGGAGAACCTGGTGGAAGATATTAGTTCAAATAATAACATATTTTTTTTATTTGTCCGTCTGGAATGTAACTTTGTTAATATTAATCACCTGTTCCAAATGCTTCTTATGGTAATCTATACGATCTTGATCATCTAAATCCTCGCCGCTGGTTGCGAAACCATTCTCTGTTATGAAGATCTCCATGTTTCCATACTGTTTCTTCAACCAAGATATGAGCTTGCTATTGCTATTTATATGGCTTTCTTATAACTTTAATTATAATTATTAATAGAAATTCCTAGTTTTGTTATTATTTTTCTCACCTCTTATTAGTTTTTTTCTTCTTTTGTGAATTCTGGTAATCTGGATTTCGGGAATCCCTGTTGTTTACTCTTTTCTGCTATGAGTTTTTCTATTTTCTTCGGCCATCCGCCTTCCTTTGAGTAGATTGGGTGTGAGTACAGTCCTCCCTGAAATTGTACGACATTAAATGAACATTTTCAATCATTTGAATTAAACTTCAAAAGTATTTAGCAACACTATTATTTTTTTGACTCTCTTTGTAATTTTATTAACCATTAACTATAGAGCCAGTTCAGCCGCGTCCCCTTCATTTTCATCTTCTCCCTCAAACCACATGACTTGATTGGTGAAAGACACTTTGCCTTTAAAATGTAATATAACACAATAGTATATGCAGAATTAATTCAGAAGAATCTAAAGATTACATTAATTAACAAAAATCAAGTACCTAAAGTATTGTTTATAAATTCGTATAATTCTTTTACCTTTATATTTTCGTCTAAACTCCTTGTCATATATCCGCCATGCTTTAGCGTGTGCCAACAATGTGTTCTTGCTGCAGATGTAACTTCCAACTCCAGTGCTAACTATTCCTGGAGCGTGAAGACCAAAAGTGTAAGCAATGTCACAAAACGTCAGCGGTTCATTGAGAGGGATCCAAGTTTTGACTCGGTCAGCGTATAGAGTCAACACAACACGAGCCTAGTCCGCAAACCAATCTGATATTAAAGGATTGCTCCAGCCGCCTGTGAATTATAACTTGGGCTAACAAACATTTCATATAGTGCTACAAGCTTGTGTAGAATGCACTGAACGGTGAGGATTCTTATTGATGAACATTTAATTTACCAGATTTATTTAAAGTTCCTGATTTATAAGATTAGAAACTCATTAATATTTATTCATCAATATGATTTGCCGTTCGTTTTCGTTTAAAGAAATCATTTGCAAAGAACATGTTGTTACTGAAAAATATTAATTTAAATGGGTTCTTCAGTTTTATCAGGAAAGATGAACTCTTTGAACTTATATAATTAAAATTTATAATGAAGTATTTTGAAAACTATGTAGTGTTTTGTTTAATTATTTATTCTATTTTATAAAGTGAAGAAGCAATGTATTTGTATTAAATACTTTTAGCAATCTCTGAAACTCACCAAGATCTTGTAAATTTTGTGGCAATCCCAGTGATATATTGTAACATCTTCACTCGTCTTATTTGCAAAACCATGAGGCAAAATTCTTGGCCAAGAAAGGGAAAATCTATAAAAAATACATATAAAAATAAGATAACATATTAAAAATTTAGACTAATATTCCGTAAATAATTATTTACTAACCAACTATAATTATTATTATATATGAAAAGTTAATATTAAATCGGACTGATAGGGATCGCGTGACTATTGGTACATTTTTTTCAAGTTACTTGGTCAGAAAAGCGATAGTGCAATAATTTGTATGAGTGAAATAAATAAAAATACCAATTTCAATTTCATAGCAACCAATAAGTAAGTATTGTAACATCAGAGTCAATGTATCACCTGTAGAAATCTAATCCCAACTCCGAAGCTACTTCCACGTCTTTGATCCATTGGTTGTATTGTAGCTGTCCCAGGCGACGTCCCCGTTGGAGCCATCGACTATAATCTCTGGTCTAGTGTGAACGAACGTGTCCCAGATACTTCGAGACTTGTCTGTCGATGAAATGATTATTAGTGTTATATAAATTCATTATTAAAAACACGAACATAAACGTACCGCTGACGTTCTGGTAAGCAGCTGTGGCTGCACCGAATTTAAACCTGGGTGGAAATCTTCTACAGAATCCAGCACCTAACAGTGCGTGACATTCTTCTATATGACATTCTTCTATACCAACTATCTATGACATTCTTCTATACCAACTATAGTCTATACATTTTGTCATCACTAATTCCCATGATATTAATAGTCATGACGTTAAAATGGGATTGTGAAACTTAACTGCTTTGTATTAAAAACGAATATAGGTTATCAGACTCACTATCGTTAAAAAAAAAGATTAAAAAAATGTTTCAAAAGGTGTATTTATAGTTTTATAATTTTGATCCCGTCTGCAAAAGATCACAGTTGCTGTTAAGTAATTAACAAGATAGAAAATGTAATATAAAATACGTAGTATCCAAAGATTTATTTTAAAGGTGTTCATGCGAAAACCTTAAATATCATTAGATGTACTGACTTCAAACAGCTATCTTTGTTTCTGGTTATTTTACAACAAAATCGCATCACATTCTATATTCTAATAACTAATTCTCCTACATTATAAACATTTTAATTCAACTCATTTCCCATTTTACCATAGAAACTATCACAAACTCTCAAATGTGATACAATAGATATTTTTTCCAAACTTGTGGCAGTGACCAAGGTGATAAACCACATATGTATTTGTGCTTACCGTTCTACCTAACCCCCCTAAATCAAAATATTTGAAGATTATAGGAATTACATATTGAATTACAGGAATGACGTATTCAATTTGACCACAAGAATCTAAGGATATGAAGGTTTGTTGTGAATATTGAGAATATCGGTTTATATGAAGAAGAGCGTTGAGGTTTCTAGGGAGTTACTTCCTAACTCACATATGTACATGGACTGTGTACACGACTTGTTCTGTGTACGAATTATTGATATGGAAGAGCAGACATTACTTTCATTAAATCAAATCAAGTCCACATATTTATAATATATTAATAAAATATTTTTAGTATACACGATACACGGAATTAGTACGAGACTGACTTAATGATGATTATACTCGTACATCAATAAATATTGATTATAAGAAAACTAACGATTATCAAATATGTATATGGAATATTGTGACAAATTATTTAGAAAAAGTATATTTTGAATGTATTTTTTTTATATCTTAAAAATGCTCATCGTATTTAAACAAATTATATGAACTCACTCACCTTAGAAGAAGTGTCGTTAACAACTACATTTTGGACGGTGGATAGTTTGTGTTGTGTGAACGTATTTGTTACTAACGAAGAAGATAAAATAAGGCTGACCGCTGATTAATATTGATAAGCTTTTATATGCACTTCATTATTATTAATAAAACATATTTTTCAGTAATAGAAGAGAGTTGCTTCTAAATTTATGAATATTTTTTGTCACAATTAAAACGAAAACTTCGTCAAGAAAACTTGTACATTTCAGTAAACAGTACAATATTAGTTAATTAAATATACAAATAAACGTTTAAGTGTACGTTGGTTTTTAAGCGTCGGTGGTTGCTACCCTTTTCCGAGTTCTATTAACAACTTCTTTACACTTATATCACTTGTCACGTACCATCGGAACACTTATCCATATCATCTCATTCTATCTCATATGACAGACTAAAAGTAGCACATTTTTAATAATTCAAAATAAAACTAGAATGAAAAAAAAGAGATTCGTTCAGTGTTTAAGTTCGTGGAGTGCTAGATATTTCTATTCCATTGATTATGTCATACAAGGCGAGTGTGCACTTTGGGTACATGTGAGCAATTCCAGTCACTTTAGTCTAAAACACATGGATGTACTCTTTTCCCATCGTGTATACTACACTCATAGTCCGGTCAAATTAGACATTCGAGGTTACATAAATTCCCACCAAGCTGAAAATCGGTAAGATTGTTTGAAATATGAGCCACCGGTTTTGAGATATAACGAATCAAAAAGTTATAATCGTCATAATATGCATGACTACGCCACGTATATGTATACTCGTACATCTCTATACTTGTAATATATGTTAAAATAATTTTACACTTTACTTCCACCTGCGCCTGAAAAACTGAACTCGATTTTTAGCAACTGCAAAAACTGCACTGCTAAATGTGGTTGCAAAAAAGTCGGACTGTCCTATTCTCCGGCATGTACACATTGTCAAGGCCGGTTGTGCTCTAACATTGAATCACCAACACACAACCAACACTAACAGTAGAGGATCCATTTAATTCCAACGATATCCGTTTAATGCCAACATGCAGTTTCATGCATGCATCGCTATTATATATAGAGTAAGAGCCCGGGGCCCCCAGACGTTACTTATTTTCTGAGTAACGAAAAGTATCGTACAGAGTAGTGTTAGGGTATACGTTGAAGGTATGCATACCTGCTAACTTGGGCCGACGGCCAATTCACAGGTATCAGGTGCTAGAGGTACATAAAAATATTGGTCACTTTTCTTAAATTCTGAGAGCTGATTTTTATATTTATTTTAAAAAATTTAATTAAAAATTTAAAATTAATAGTGCCAGAACAATTTCGTCGGCGGTAATTTACGCCAAACGCTTTAAAGTTTGGAAAAAAATAATGTAAGTTTACTCTAAGTCTGAGTCTTGATTTTTATATATGATAATTTAGTAACTATTTTAACACTATTTCTTTGTAGACAGAAGAATTCTAGGGGCCAAATATCTCCCAGACATATTTAAAACTCGCCATGAGTATTAACGCGCACATAATGTTTTCGCGGTTTTATATCACAGGCCTGTTGAATTTATGTTTTAGTTCAGTCTTGTAATTTTTTAAATAATAATCAAACCATATTTAAGTGCCCAATTACAAATTATGTATAAATTTCAGTATGATAAAAATTATTAAGTTATGAGTGGGAAGGTTCGTACGAAAAGTAACAAAAAAATAATTTTGTTATTAGCATTTTATCCTGTAAAAAATATTTATTTGTATTTTTCTACAAAACATAGAGAAATATGTAGAGCAAATATTATAAAAAAAAATATTTAAGATGAATTTCTTTCTTTATTAATAATTAAATTTTAGTTTTTAATATTCGTCATCGTCATCATTGGTATTTGAGAAGTCGTCATCCAGCCAATTATTGTATTGGAGTCTCTAAGTCATCATCATCATGAATATCAGTATTTTAGGTTTTTTTTTTCCAAACTTTAAAGCGTTTGGCTAAAATTATCGCCCACGAAAACGTTCTGGCACTATTAATTTTAAATTTTAATTCAATTTTTTAAAATATATATAATAATCAGCTCTCAGAATTTAAGAAAAGTGACCAATATTTTTATGTACCTCTAGCACCTGATACCTGTGAATTGGCCGTCGGCCCAAGTTAGCAGGTATGCATACCTTCAAAGTATACCCTAACACTACTCTGTACGATACTTTTCGTTACTCAGAAAATAAGTAACGTCTGGGGGCCCTGGGCTCTTGGACTAATACAGGGTGACTGGTGAATTACTATCGATACTTGAGGACGTGATATTTGACGATCATATATGACAAAATAAAAATTAATATAACATAAATATTAATAAACTTCTAAGTAAAATTAACCAAAAGTTATGTAATTAATTACGCATCGTGTGAACACCCTACAGATTAGGTATAGACACACACACACACACACGCGCGTGTTGCGGCGTGGTGTTGTATCAGCACGCCGCCGCACGCTTCCACACTTGGAACACTTGGAACGTGTCCACACTTTATTTATTTATACGGAAATTTGGTCAAAAATTAACAACCTATTTTTTTTACATAATTCGAATGAGAATCATGTACCGAGTATTCTCCTTAAATATTGATAGTAATTCACCAGTCACCCCGTATAATATATAATATAGAACGCAGTTTACATCCACTCAGGATGAAGATGAAAAAGATCATGAAGAAGAACAAGAAGAAGATTTTGAAAATTACGACATCGGACGATTAAATTTCACTACTTTTTTTAAATATAAATTGCTTTTATCTTTTCAATCTCTGCTAATATCCATTATTTATTAATAGTTTCAAATTAAACAAGATCAAAACTGACCCGTGGAATAGACCTGCTGGGGAAGATACAAAAAAAAAGCGAAGTACACTACCTCATAGGTGGCGAGGAAACGTGTGCATATTATGACGATTACAACTTTTACAACTTTTTGAATCGTTATATCTCAAAAACGGTGACTCGTAGAAAAAAAGTATTAAGTAATTCTTTGTAGATAATTTTATGATCTATAATTTTTGTCTGAGATATTTTTATGATAAACTTACCGTTTTGCTGAATATTGCGAAAAACTCATTTTGTTTACCTTTGACCTTGAATAAAATTTTTTCCTTACAGATGAAAGATGGGGAACTTTCAAATTTTGTTTTTAATGATATTTCAAACAATCTTACCGATTTTCAGCTTGGTGGGAATTTATGTAACCTGACTGTTATCATTTGGTCTAATTTGTCTCCTCTCCTTTTTTGTCTCTTCTCCTTTTTTGTCTCCTCTCCTTTTTTCTATTTTCATTAATCGCATTACTTCTCAATTATCTTCTCTCTATCACCTGTATGCCGACGATCTCCAATTATATAAACATTCAAAATTAATCGATTTGCCTAGTACAATTCAAACATTAAATAAAGACCTAGAATCAATTGTACTTTGGAGTAAATCCCATGGACTTAAAGTTAATCCTTTGAAAACACAAGCAATTATAATCGGCAGTCAAAAACTAGTTTCCCGCATCGATTGGCCCAATTTGCCTGGTATAATTGTTGATGGAACACTTGTTCCATACAGTGAAACTGTAAAAAATCTAGGTGTTGTTTTTGATAGATTTCTGACCTGGACCCCCCAAGTAAGCGAGGTGAGCAGGAAGGTGTTTGCATCTATCGGGTCTCTTCGCAGATTGCGAAATTTTCTACCGATACCAACTAAAATTGTGCTTGCACAATCTCTCCTGCTACCGATTCTCGATTATGCTGATACCTGTTATCTCAATTTAAGTGAGGAATTGCTTAATAAACTTGAGCGCATCCAGAATCTTTGTATACGGTTCATATTTGGACTTCGTAAATATGACCATGTTTCAGAATTTCGCGAAAAACTCAAGTGGCCCTCAATCCGCCTTCGCAGGAATACTCACATTCTTTCCCTATTATACAATATCCTATTTAATCCTACCTCTCCCTCATACCTTATAAAGCGCTTTGAATTCCTGAGTGATTCTCATTGTTTCTCTCTTCGGTCTGACGATAACTTGATTTTAAAAATCCCCTCCCACAATACATCCTTCTATTCTAAATCCTTTTCTGTGGAAGCTGTACGGCTCTGGAATTCCTTACCACTTACCTTACGGCGTGCTCAATCCCTAGCAATATTCAAACGGCTTTTAAAAGCAAACTTCTTCCCCCCTTAAATTTTGTCTACCTGTTTCCTTAATATTTATGATTTTTATTTTTCTATTTATTCTAAACTCCTACTCTGCAATGTATCTGGCTTATATTTTAAATTTATTATAAATATATATATATATATATATGTGTATGTATATGTATGTATATATATATATATGTATGTGTATATATAAATTATATATATAGATTATTGTATATTGAATGTAGTATATATATGTTTTACTATATATATGTGTATAGTTTCGTATAAGTATATTTTTCTCTCACATACATATGTACACCTCAAATGTTTTATTCTGTTTACTGTGTCCTACGTAACATGGTTGCCTGGCAGAGATCGCTGCTAAGCGATGAGGCCGCCAATTGTACATTTTGATTAAGTTTTGTACTGTATAATTTATTTATTCTTTGGTGTACAATAAAGAATACTTACTTACTTACTTACTTACTTACTTTGACCGGACTATAACCTCATATTATGATTAGATATCTGTAAGGGTACCGTTATATTAAAAAGATATGTCGTACTTTTATATTTAACTAGCTTTCCGCCCGCAGCTTCGCCCGCGTGGAGTTCCGTTATATCGCGTTTCCAAGAGAACCTTTCAAAAGTCTGGTATAAAAACTATCCTATGTTCTTTCTCAAAGTCAACTCTATGTCTGTACCAAATTTCATTAAAATCAATTCAGTGGTTTAGGCATGAAAGCGTAACAGACAGACAGAGTTACTTTCGCATTTATAATATTTGTAGGGATATAAGCCGCTACCGTGACATAATATATAGAAATTTTGTTTGTACTTATAAAATTGGTTCATAGATAGGCTTCTACATAACATTCCCAAACACGGTTGATGTGGGATGGCGGGTAATAGCTCCGGTTCAAGATCTTGAGTTTGCTATCGCTGGGATCTGTGAGTACAAATACATATATATATATATAATATATTTTGAAGAAGTACTTCTACATATAACACAACCCTTCGTAGCGTTAAGTCCGCCCTTTGTACATAAATTTTTTTTGTGCAATAAAGAATAATAAAAAAAATAACCCTTCTTCCATCTCCGTAGTCGAGTAACAATTTACCTGTAAAATATTTTTCCAAGCACATCCACGGTATAGTGACTATATTTCCATACATATCTAATAATTGTATAAGTCTGTCCATCAACATTCTGTCTGTATGTTTCTCCACGACGGTAGATACTAAACTCATGACCACAGCTTCTAAACATTCTTGATCTTTTATTTCGACTTTCCAATGTATTATTGTGTCCAACTGAAAAATATAAAAACGACTATTTAAAAATTGCTGAAGATATAACGATATTTTTACAATCATATTATTTTTTGATGTGTCGATTTCCATATAAATTTACAAAAATGTAAACCATTAATTATGATAATTAATAAATAAAAAAATACAAAAAAAATTGCACTGAAAATTATAAAAAACATTTAAATAATTTCCGATAAGTACTGAACTACATAAAAAAGGTCATACTTCCGGGATTCAAATAATGGTATATAAGACTATCGCGAGTATTAATTTAAGTGAAACTAATATTTTCGGATCAATACGCGTATTTTATTATTTTTAAAACGGTTTCTGCATAATAACCGAAACGTCAAAAGTATGTAGCTTAAACAATAAATTAAATGATTAAAAAAAACACGTAGCAATCTGAAAATATTAGTTTCATTTTCCTAGATTCACACTTACGACTGAACAGATACAAGGTCCCGATCCCTTTAACAGTTAAGCTAGTGTGTACTAACCGATTAAATATACTCACAATATCTATATAAAGTTGATCCACGGGTCCGTCCGTGATGAGAGATAGTAGTGGGGGAACTGACGCCCCCGCGTGTGAGGTCAATGACACCCGAACATTACATACCGCCTGAAAACATATTACATACATATTCATGTATTTTGGTGTAAGTAAAAACTATTACTTTACTTCCAATTACACGTTGTATGTATGATATGACTATTATAAAACCATTTTCTATCATTATATGTATATGTATTAAAAAACAAAAATGTATGGAAATTTCAAAGTAATAAAATAGATCGAATATCCGATTTTAGTGACTGTAATAATGACTGACTTTAGAATGTATGTACAGACGGCATCAGAGTGTCTAAAATATAAAATGAGAAAATTTATTATTCACATTGAAGAACTTGGGTGACTGATTGTATAGTTACTTGTTGCTATTTCACAAGATAGACTGGGAAATCTTTTATTTCTAGATTCATTTGTTTAAATATAAGAATAAGATATATTATGAGATAGAAAAAGTTTTTAAACGTTTCACGTTACGGTGACGAGATGAGAATGTCTGTCAGTTGGTCTTGTTATTTATGACCTACATTTATTTTCCCAGGATCCCAGGTATTTGACATACTGTTTTTAGGAAAGATCTCAACATCTAAATTACTTTATTAGAATGGAATCATCGTCAAACCATTTTGTTTGTATCTTATATCTATAGTTTAGTGTGTATATATACGAGTAATATACAAGTCTCTGAAATACGTTTGTTTCCTTTGAGCTAACACTTACTTTGAATATTTAAGACATAATGGAATATCAATTTGATTCGTGTAATATTCTGTTGAAACATTGTAGTATGTAATCTCTTGTAATAAATGTTTATTAAACAAAATTACTTTAGTTTAATATATTAATGTCAGTAAATCATTTAATTTTTTAAAGTATGAAATTATATGAAGTAAGCTATTCATCGCTTTTAATGCTCCTGTTACTACTTTCAGACACTTTCAACTCGTTCGACCGTGATTTAGATTGTAGTGACGATGGTTAAGTTATCGAATCGGTGGGAAAACATAAAATTAAAATTGTATATTCAAGTAGTCATATATGCACTGTCTTTTTAAATGTGTATTCGAGAAAATATTTTATTACAGTGTATTTTAAAAAAATATACAGATTTCTAAAATATTACATACTAGCTTTTGCCGCGACTCTGTCCGCGTGGAATAGTGACTTACGGCAGATTTTTGGTTCTTCCCACATAGTTCCCGTTCTTGTGGGGTTTTCGGAATGGTCGAGTTCCCGTAGAATTTTCAGGATATAACCTATGTTTTTTTTATTCACAATGAAGTACTCTTAACCAACAACATATTTATTTGTTTATTTGAATAAAGATTAGTATTATTATGTTGATACAACTTAAACAAATTATTTCGACCAAATTAGGTACCATACAAACGGTTTTTGTGAGTTAATCGTAAAAGATAGACATATACTGTCGCGGAGTGTTTTTTAGATCATTAAAAGAGCTATTACATATTCTTTAATACATATTTTTTGTGTATCTTGAACCGTTTTCACGGCGCACGCAACGGAAGGCTTCAAAGATGAAATAATTTCTCCTGTTTTTTACACATTTACCACTATATCTTTGCTCTTATTGGTCGTAGCGTGATGTTATATAGCCCACAGCCTTCCTCGATAACTGGACTATCCAACACAAAAAGAATTATTCAATTCGAACCAGTAGTTTCGGAGATTAGCGCTTTCAAACAAACAAACAAACAAACAAACTCTTCAGCTTTATAATAGTATAGATAAGCCCGGGAGTAATTATTCAAGAATATTATATTTTAGATCAGACATTCGGTAAATATTCAAAACAGTTATGAATAAAATTTGACATATTTATAATTGGATAACTTTATTACTCTGAATTTAATGGCAAAATTTATTCTTGTTTTAGAAAAATGAAAGATAAAGAGAGATCTTACCTTTTAGAATTTGGAGTTTCCAGTTGGGTGTTACACTTGTATTATTCTGGGATATAAAATAATTCTTGTATGTATGTAAAATCTTAATTTCATAGTTCGGATTTTAGTTAATGTCATCACAATACTCGAGATTGTAATTCGTCCAACAAATAAAAACGGTTATATTGCCAAAATATTCCACGATTCCAGTGCGAATGAGGCCTAGTTTAAAAAAATAATGACTATAATTAAAATGATTATAACACAGTACAGTCATAATATTGTATGGATCACACGATATTCTCAATACGTTTATGATAACCAAATATTAATAATTAAAAAACAACATTGATAAATCAATCTACCAATAATCTTAGTCATCTATATAGTTCCTGCAAGTTGTTAATTATGGTGAACACAGTATGTCTATATTTAGTAAGTACCAATAACTTTTGCCATTTCTACGTCGTACACTTAGACACGTAAGAGTTATATTGTCAAGATTTATATTGATATCTTACAGGAAAAAATGTTAATAAATTAGAGAATTTCAAAATCATTTCTGTAATTAAATAAGTATTTTCGTACGAATTGGAGTTGACTTTCTTAAATTATTATTTATTAAGTCAATATTAAATATCATCTATTTTTTTGATGGATAAATTACAACATGAATAAATGTTTGATTAACGTTTCCCTCAAAATTTAATAACTTGTAAATTGAATCAAAAATATTAATAAAAGGTTATCCTCTATCATAATACAATTTTCGATTTGTAACTGCTCTTATTTCTGTATTTACGTGGGATGAAAAAATTTAATGAGATCACGTTGCATTTGTGAAACGCTGATGGCTCGAAGGACCAATGATGGCTCGAAGGATCAATGATGGCTCGAAGGACCAATGACGTAAACACCAACGATGGCTCGAAGGATCAATGATGGCTCGAAGGACCAATGTTGGGATCGGTAGCTCGGTGGAGACAATTAAAAGGCGGTGGACTGTATAAATGACGTGTATTGTTCCATATAAACAGGTACGCGTGTGCGCGTCGAGCGATGTCGCAGCTCACTAATGGACCGGGCGTTGGCCGCCGCGGTGCCACCTCTCTCGCTGGGGCAGTGATTGCTGCGTCCCTTTCTGAATGACGCAACATACTCCCCCGGTTGAAGTTTCTTCAACAGCATTGACTAGAAGAGGGCAGATGGTATTTAAAGCTCGTCGTAAGACGCCTCTACGTGTGCGGATGTCGGCAACCCTTCCGAAGCCATTTCGTTCGTTCCGTTGTAAGTTGGAGATGTTGGCTGTGAGCATGTCAGCATGATTAAAGATCGCCCAATGAGAAAGTGTGAAGGAGTCAAAGGGGAGAGGTCTGGAGGATCACTGGATAGTGGCGTTAAAAGGTTCGAATTCAGGATTGCCTAGTCAAGCCTAAAATGCGTCTAAGGTGATGTTTGGTGGACTTGACTGCAGACTCCCAAAGTCCTCCGAAGTAAGGGGTATATGCAGGAATAAAAGAAAAGTTTATACCTGTATCAATAGAACTCAGTTGCAAATCTTGAGGAAGAAGGCTAGCTAGCTCGTTGAAGGCACCTACGAAAGTAGTAAGGTTGTCAGAAAAGACGTTATGCGGCTTTCCTCTCCGAGCAATAAAACGGTTCATCGCGGATGACTAAGCTTCTTTCGTGAGGTCAGAAACAAGCTCAAGGTAGACTGCTCCTGTTGCTAAACACACAAACACACAAATAAAACTTTTAATGAGTCTACAACCTCTACCTTTACGATCAGCTATCATGATAGGGCCGGCGTAATCTACCCCTGTATCTAAGAAAGGAAACTCTAGATGAAGGCGCTGCTCTGGTAGGTTACCCATGATCGGTTGAATTGTGTTAGCTTTATTCCTATAACACCTAACGCATTGATGCGTAACCCTTTTTGCTAAGTTTTACATTTGTTTATGATGATGACTGACTGTTTTTTACATTTGTTAATGAAACGAAAGATATAAGAAACGAATCTTTGTCATTTATTAAAATCTGAATAATAAGAATAAAAATTTAATAACATGTTTTTTTTGTTTAATTTCAACATGATGACAAGCTATAGTTTCAGGTATGTTATTAGATAGTTGATGAGGAAAATTAGGCCAAGAAGATAGACCTTTTTGTAAAAACTGTGGACCTGACCACCACAAAGAAGATGATGACAACTTGTCAGCTCTAGGTCCGCGCGAAGCGAGGTCTGCGGGGTTCTCAAGAGACGGAACGTAACGCCATGAACATGTCCCGACAGAGTCTTGAATTTCGCAAACGCGATGACGAACAAAGGCTAATATGGACTCGTTGATATGTAGAGTCAATGATTGACATACCTTTGTATATAAGCGTGAATCTAATAATGCAGCACAAAGTTCCAGCCGAGGCATCGTGGTTGGTTTGATGGGAGCCACCTTACTTTTAGCAGTAAGAAGATGCACGTGAGCTCTGCCATCTAATGACTCGCTGCGAACATATACACATGCACCATAAGCCTTTTCAGAAGCATCTGAAAACATATGTAAGTCGGGTTGCATATGATCAACAAGCATACATAACTCAGAAGACGAATTACGATGAGCGACTGAACCCGAAACGAGCCAACCAAATTTTGACTCTATTAAAGTGGGCAAATTTTTACCTAATGCAATACGATTCGCGCCTATTATGTTCCAAAAGATTTCCGCGCCACAAAGAATGTCAATTGACGACGGAATATTGTAGTCAGGGTCGGCAAGACGAATGTTTGTAGGTATAGGTATACTACTTACGTCAATATATGTGTTAGGAATTGAAGATGAAATTTTCGAGAGGACTAGACAACTAATTTCAATTGTAAAATCTCCCTTAAAAGATTGAATGGAAATTGAACAAGCTTGCGAACAATCAGATGTTTGTTGATTAATACCAATAACCTTAGAAGGATTTTTATAAGTAGAAATATGAAGCTTACGAATTAAGTTATCGGAAATGAAATTAACCGTGCTTCCATTATCCAGTAAGACCCTCGCAGTATGGAGGTTGCCCTTGGCGTCCGCCACCTTCACGAGAGCTGTGGAAAGGAGAACAACGGATGAATTAGATGAGTTGTTAACAGAAAGAGAAATGTTTGGTGTGTTTTGGGAAATTGCACTATTCTCTATATGAAGTAAAGAGTTATGTTTTTTACGACAATACTTGCAATGTCCTAATTTGCACTTAGAGGCAATATGACCTGGACGAAGACAATTAAGACATACTTTGACTTCGTGAGCCTTTTTAATGCGTGACTGTATAGATAAGCTTTTAAATTTTTCACATGCAAAAATAAAATGATTTTGATGACATAGAGGACATGATATATTTTTATTTTCACAATTTATTATGAAACTTTTAGATTTATTAACAATGTTATTCTTAAATTCGCTTTTTGATTTTAATGAATTTGACCCCTCTAGTGTCTCTAGTAAGTCAGCTCTGTTACTTAAAAATGAAATAAATGTTGAAAGTGTAGGAGGCTCAGACAGGGTATTTCTGTGCTCTTCCCACTCACGACTAGTTACTTGGTCTAACTTGGATGCCATAATGTGTATAACCAGTGTGTCCCAGTACTGAACAGGTTGATCGAGCGTTGAAAGGGCTCTCAAATTTTTATTTGTTGTGTCGATAATATGACGTAAACACTTACTGGACTCTCTGCTGATTGCGTTCACATTAAAGAGTGCTTGCACATGGTTGTTGACTAGTAATCTTTTATTGTCGTACCTCTCACAGAGTAACCGCCAGGCAGCGTCGTAGTTATCTGATTTAAAATCTAAATTGTCTATAACTAACAATGCACTACCCTTTAATGAAGCTCGAAGATAGTGTAACTTATTTATTTTATCAATGTTATTATTATTATGAATTATGGAAATAAAAGTATCTCTAAATTCCAACCAATCATGATAGATACCGGAAAACCTTGGTAAATCAATCTTAGGTAAACGCACTGAGCTTTGTGTGTGTGTGTTATTAGCACAAGAACCCACCTCGGAATTGGCATCGGCCTTGAGAAGTTGTCGAGAACTGCTTATCAGCTGGCGCGCAGAGGCCACCAAGTTGTAGAACTGATTTTCGAATTCCTCACGCTCCGTATATTGTTCGTCAGGAACGTCCGCCAACGTTTCCAAGTCATTTTGTAACGTGTTGTATTTTTCGTATAAGCCTTCGAAAATATTAAGTCTATATTCAATTTCAATGACTTGCAATTCACTTAACTTTTCACAAGATTTTGAAAGATTGATATAAGATGCAAACTGAGTAAGCTTAGCCTTAATTGATGCACGCTTCTTGATTAAGCTTTTAAAATCAGACATCTTTTTAAATGTGAGCAAAAAAGCAAAATAAAAAATAAGCAAAGCTTAGAAAGCCTATTCAGCAATTCACTATCCTGTGAAGCGAAGCTTAGCAGTAAAATGAGCAATGTCAAGCGTAAGGCGTGTCAATCAAAAGTGCTTAGTCATGTTATGTAATTTATGCAATGCAAACACAACGTAAAAATAAGCAAAAAATGATTGCATATACTAATGAAAGCGATTAATTCTAATGAAAACAACTAAATAATCAGGAATGTAATGTAAATGGATTGAAGATATGAAAATGATTGTGGGAATGAAATGGATGATTATGAAAATGGAATGAAATAAAGGAAAATGGAACAATCTCACGGGTTTTCTTTGTAATCCTCTGATGACTGCTGCGTGTAGAATATTGTACTATATCAATCTTCTGTACACGGTGTCAAACCAATTTCCGATGTTCTTTGTTCTCGTTGTCCGGCTCGAAATACCAATGACGTAAACACCAACGATGGCTCGAAGGATCAATGATGGCTCGAAGGACCAATGATGGCTCGAAGGACCAATGATGGCTCGAAGGATCAATGATGGCTCGAAGGACCAATGACGTAAACACCAACGATGGCTCGAAGGATCAATGATGGCTCGAAGGACCAATGTTGGGATCGGTAGCTCGGTGGAGACAATTAAAAGGCGGTGGACTGTATAAATGACGTGTATTGTTCCATATAAACAGGTACGCGTGTGCGCGTCGAGCGATGTCGCAGCTCACTAATGGACCGGGCGTTGGCCGCCGCGGTGCCACCTCTCTCGCTGGGGCAGTGATTGCTGCGTCCCTTTCTGAATGACGCAACAAACGCTAACATCTATAAAATCAGCATCTTCAATGGTCTGTTTATTCAAAAAGCTCAGAATGATTTCTTCGTATCTTTACATTTTTTTTATTGGGTTTAGGACTTTATTTAGGATTTAACTACGCAAAATAGCAATTTTGTTACATAATATTTAATGTACCTATTGGTTTAGGATACTCGTAGTAAATGCCATAAATGATAAGACACTCTTGCAGTAGTCTTACTGGGAGTAACTAGAAGAAAAGTTTGTTTTATAAAGTTTTTTGCATATTAACTTCAAGAAGTCAATTAAAAATTAAATAAGGCATCCACTAGTTTCTCAGCTCAAATATTATCTTAGAAATTTTGTTCCGAGATAAAGGTTTTCCAACAATCCACTCAGTAGTATTCAGTTTTAAACTAATAATATGATCCTTTTTTGGTCTTAAATTCTTTTGAAAGCCAATCAACATCAGGTTATTTCTTAAATATTCGTGTTTTAATTTTCTTTTTATCTTTATCTGATCTGATAAACTCAATATTACAAACTTGATTGTGAAAGTGGCTTGTCATACATCGGACAGACAAAGACAAGCATCGGTACAAGGGTCAAGGAACACATTTCAGACGTCAGGAATAGGCGCGTGTCGAAGTCAGCAGTGTGCGAACATGCATTGGACAAACCAGGCCATTACATTAGATTTGATCAACCACATATCCTCGTTCGTGAAGACAGATATATACCAAGGTTAATCCGCGAGGCTGTTGAAATTAAAAAAACACCCCAATTTCAATAGAGAAGATGGATGAAATTTATCAAACACCTGGGATACTCTTCTTAAAAAATATAAAATCCCATGTCCGCGACCACACCGCAGGACCTCGAGACACTGTGACCGCATTCTGCCGGTATCCAGAGCGGTACGCCAGAATCAGAAATCTTCAGACTGACTGACAGGCAGACACTCACATCCCGTCTGCCCGTGATCATGGTTGCTGTAAAGTAGCCGAAACGTCGGAAGTATGTAGTTTATAGTCAAAAATAAAAAATCGCTTAGTAAATCCGAAAACATTAGCTTCATTTAAATATAGTTATATTTTTATTTCTTTAAACTGAAGTGGTGAAAAAGTTACATTATCTTCCATACTCTTACAAGAAAATCAGTCGTACAGGACAATATATAAATTTTAAAAAAATGTTAATCAGTCATAATGTACTTAAAATATAATATGCTTGTAGACACTGTTACTTAACTGTAACCTTTTTAACAACAATAATCATAATGACATTATTCCAGTTTTATTATGGTCATTAGGAATTTATGATCGTCACAGATCATTTATATGTATAAATCTCCACATTAATGGACTTAAAGCTAAATTACTGATATTGTACTTATCGTTGATCAACTTTTTAATGTTTGTTCATATATATATTATATTACAAATAACATTCTTGTTAACTGTTACTTTATT